CCCCCCCCCCCCCCAATAATCTACATGACTTTGGTCTATAAAGCCCTATACAGTTCTGGCCCAGCTTATTTGTCTGAAAGTATCTCCCTCTATGACTTGGATTTGTTAACTTTTAAATGAATGTTTTAACTTGCTGTTAATGTTTTAATTGTAATTTTATTGCTATTGTTTGTGTGGCATCTAATAATTGCCAGTTCTAAGCCGACCTGAGTCCCTCTTCAAGGGTAAGAAGGGCAGGATATAAATGTTTGAAACAAATAAATAAATAAATAAATAAATAATCCAAAGTTTAAACTACTACATCATGCTGACTCTCTACATTCATAGTGTCTAGATCTAAGGAAGTAATGCTACCCCTCTATTCTGCTTTGGTTAGACCACATCTGGAATATTGTGTCCAATTCTGGGCACCACAATACAAGAGAGATATTGACAAGCTGGAATGTGTCCAGAAGAGGGCGACTAAAATGATAAAGGGTCTGGAGAACAAGCCCTATGAGGAGCGGCTTAAGGAGCTGGGCATGTTTAGCCTGAAGAAGAGAAGGCTGAGAGGAGATATGATAGCCATGTATAAATATGTGAGAGGAAGCCACAGGGAGGAGGGCGCAAGCTTGTTTTCTGCTTCCTTGGAGACTAGGACGCGGAACAATGGCTTCAAACTACAAGAGAGGAGATTCCATCTGAACATGAGGAAGAACTTCCTGACTGTGAGAGCCGTTCAGCAGTGGAACTCTCTGCCCCGGAGTGTGGTGGAGGCTCCTTCTTTGGAAGCTTTTAAACAGAGGCTGGATGGCCATGTGTCAGGGGTGATTTGAATGCAATATTCCTGCTTCTTGGCAGGGGGTTGGATTGGATGGCCCATGAGGTCTCTTCCAACTCTTTGATTCTACGATTCTATGATTTATCACTTACATTTATATCCTGCTTTCCCTCCAACAAAGACTATCCTGCTCTTTCCCATTTTATTCTTATAGTAATCATATGAAGTAGGTCATGCTGAGACAGAGTGAGTAGACCAAGTCATCTAGTGAATGCCATGGCTCTGAAGGGGACTCAAAACTGAATTCACCAAATCTAGTCCAACACTGGAAACACTACACCAAGCTGCATTTGGGGAAAGCTGTTTTGTTTCATACTTCTCTCTCCCTTTTCCATCTTACATATCTCACCTCTGTCAAGGTCCTATGTACTCCCACACTCCTTGAAGAACCGTGTGGTGGTCCTGCTGCTGTGCCTGTATTTATCCTGGGCATCCCAGCTCTGTTGTTTTCAGGAACTGGATTAGCAGGGAGAGCTTTCTGAGGTGGTTGGGGCCGAGAAGAATTCTAGAGCAAAAGAGTAATATATAGCAGTCATTTTTCTTAAGGCTTTATAGTAACTGTATAAAAATGGTAATGACTTGGGATGTAACTCTTTACTACTTTTCTTCTTGAAGGAAATAATGTAAACTATTTTGTATTGTCGTAGGCTTTCATGGCTAGAATCACTGTAGGTTGTAGGTTTTTCAGGCCTCAAAACCTCTGAGGGTGCTTGCCATAGATGCAGGCGAAACGTCAGGAGAGAATACTCCTAGAACATGGCCATATAGCCTGAAAAACTTACAACACCCCAGTAAACTATTTTCTTCTCGCAGCAAGGAAGACTTTCAAAACTGTGCAATTTTTGGAGACTATTTGAAGCTTGAGATTCAGGGTGCATTCACACTGCAGATTTAATGAAGTTTCACACATTTTATCTGCTATGATTTAATGCTGTGGAACTCTGGGATTGTACTTTGGCGAGGCACGAGAATTATTTGGCAGAGAAGGTTAAAGATATAGTAAAACTGCAACTCCCAGGATTCTAAATGTAGAACCTTCCTTATTCTGAGCAAAACTAACCACCACCACCACCACCCACCATAAGAGGAATATCAGGAAAGCTCCTTTAATACTGACATATAAAATCCAGATTATCTGTTTTGAAGTGAATTATATGGCAGTGTAGACTCATATCATTCAGTTCAAAACAGTTACTGCGGATCATCTACTTTGATAATCTGAATTATATGGCAGTGTAGAAGAGGCCTCAGCTGAAGTTCTGATTGGTGTTCTTCATATACTACAACAAGTTCTCTACCATAACTCTTCGCTACAATAACTCTTGTTCTTGTTGCTGTGTGCCTTCAAGTTGTTTTCAATTTATGATGGCCCTAAGGCAAACCTATCATGGGGGTTTCGTGTCAAGATTCATTCCGGAGGATTGCCTTTAGAGATCAATATTGTGTTAGGGAAATTGATACAAGGACTCCCCCTGCAGGGACATTAGTGCCAGTGTGTGATCTCTGCATCAGGAATGTCAAGGAAATATGGTTATACAAATGTTTAGTCCTAGTGCACATTGTTAGAGTGCATGTAGTAGTTAGAGATCTTGATATAAGGAGCAAACACACCAATGGCTTGAAGAAAGAAACTTAACTTTATTGTAGAAATGCCATTCTAAGATAGGAAAATTACTCAAGGTCCTGATCTAAGCATAACTATATCTTGGAAGGTCAAGGGAGGACTCATGAGAAGAATAAGAGGTGGAGAAACATTCCTAAGAGTATCAGTTTCTATCACACAGTGTCAAGATGGGTAGACATAGAAGGTTCATGATAGGTGGGCATAGAAGGTCATTAAGACTATTATTACTGCCCACTGTATAGTATTGTTTCTCTTCAGTGCTAAGTGTTGTAGCATTTCCAGTGCATATAACTAGTGGCCAAAAGTAAATGTTGAGGAGTATTCACCAAATGAGAACTTTTAAAAAATTGTGGGTTTTGTTTTTGTTTTGTTTTTGTTTTTTTTTAAAAAAACAAAACAATAACTCTCAGAGTTCTCCAGCGAACAAACATAATCATGCTGGCAGGAGGATTTGGGAAGCTTTCATCCAAAATGTGTTGTTTCTAAATCAACCAAACAGAAATTTCAGCATTATTACAATTGTACACATTTGCAAATAGATGCAAAAGTAGCTCACGGACTCCCAGAAATCACATATTTACTCTGTAAATTCTGAGCAAGCAAGGGAAACAAGTGAGACCAATGCTGGAGATGTCCTTCATCTTACTGAAATACTCTTACCTGTGAAACAGTGACCTTTGGAGCTGGAGGTGCTGGCCTATTGGGCGGTGTCCTTCGGGGTAAATTCTTAGTCTCACTCTGCCCTCCTGGAATGGGAGGATTCCTTGTGTAGTTAGCCAGGAGAGGAGGTGGAGGTCGGGCATGGACTCCAAGCTCAGGTGGCGGTTGGCAGTAAAGTACTTCTGGTTTAGGAGGAATATTCTGTATGCCAAGAACCTATATGAAAACCACACAAGTTAATATTGCCCAAACCACTGCAATACTCAGCTTTCTTTGTTAGGAACGTCAAATTCCTAATGAGAACTGTTGGATATGGGTTTTAAATGCAAGCAAGTAGGCAAGCTAAATCTCCCTTTTCCATATGGCTGTCCTTCCAGTCATATCTAGAAAGTAATGAGACTTTGCTGAAGGAAGCTGAAAATCAAGTGTAGGTACTTCTCACAAGCTAAGCCCTTTTCACCAATCCTGTTGAAACCAATCCAACATGTTTATGTGTTTATACCAAATTTCAATATTATTGCCAGGTTTTTTTTCCCCTCTTTATCTTGTTTATTAATTTAGACATTTCTGCCTCACATCCTTCAAAGCCCTTGGTTGTAGGTTCTGTATGAAATACAAACCATACTACCTCATCATAGAATCAAATCAAAGAGTTGGAAGAGACCTCATGAGCCATCCAGTCCAACCCCCTGCCAAGAAGCAGGAATATTGCATTCAAATCACCCCTGACAGATGGCCATCCAGCCTCCGTTTAAAAGCTTCCAAAGAAGGAGCCTCCACCACACTCCGGGGCAGAGAGTTCCACTGCTGAACAGCTCTCACAGTCAGAAAGTTCTTCCTCATGTTCAGATGGAATCTCCTCTCTTGTAGTTTGATGCCATTGCTCCGCGTCCTAGTCTCCAAGGAAGCAGAAAACAAGCTTGCTCCCTCCTCCCTGTGACTTCCTCTCACGTATTTATACATGGCTATCATATCTCCTCTCAGCCTTCTCTTCTTCAGGCTAAACATGCCCAGCTCCTTAAGCCGCTCCTCATAGGGCTTGTTCTCCAGACCCTTTATCATTTTAGTCGCTCTCCTCTGGACACATTCCAGCTTGAGAGTGACTAAAGTCATGCAAAACAATTAATTCAATTTTTAAGAAGACTTAAAAGTAGTGACTGACTAAAAAAATCACAAACAAAAATTGCAGAGAGACAATTGTCCTTTGGAAGGCCCCAAACGAGTGCTGTTTGATCCTGTTTTTTGTACAGTATAACAAGAGAGTAGTCTTGTAGTTACAGCACTGGCAGAGCTAGGGAAAGTAACTTTTAGAATGACATCTTCCACAGCCCCTGAGGGAGTCTGGAACAATGCCTTTACCAAAATCATGGCTTTGAATCCCTATCTTTTATGTGAATAGTATGAGGGAATCATTGACTTGGATCAGCACAGGGTCAGTCAGAGTTAAGAACACATAGAAAATGAAGCATTATTCATTTCCATACAAAAATGTCTGAAATACCTTTCTCTGCTCCTGTGGGGTTTTCAGTTTGAAGGCTGGGTTGGCATGACCATTTGCAACATTCTGAATAGGAGGAGTCGTGCTGTTTTGAGAGAACACAAGGAAACAAGAATCACTTGCTAATACCCATGTTTAATGGTGATCCAATATTCAAGATTCCCCATACAGATAGAACTGAATAAGTTAAACTAGACAAGAAATAGAAAGTCAGGGTTTCAGGAGAACAATTTGCACTCATGGGCAAAATAAACCTAGAATTACAACACAATCCTAATTAAAAGATGTGCTGACTGTAGTAGGTTAGAAATAGACAGAAGATAGCATAACTTCCTTGTGTTGGTTGATTTTAGTGATTAGGTAACAGAAAAGTGCAAAGAGGGAATGGGGAAGGTAAGGGGACAGCTAAGTTATACTAGATCCAAATATCCTCAAGCCTAAATCCAATTGACACTGGCCCAAACCCTAGAAGTCAAACAGAGATTACTCCTGGTCACACAACAGATATCAAGGGACCTCTAGTCCATAAAAAGAGGTAAAAGTTTCCCCTTGACATTAATTCTAGTTGTGTCAGACTCTGGGGGGGTGTTGTCTATCTCCATTTCTAAGTCAAAGAGCCGCTGTGTCTGTAGACACCTCCAAGGTCATGTGGCATGACTGCATAACATGGTGTAAAATCTAGTCTGTAACATGTTGTAAAATCAGCTAACCTGGCTTTACCCTGCATTGAGAAAGGTTGGGTTAGTGTGAACAGCTGGACAGGCTTTAATTGGAACTGGTCCACTATCCACATGTGGTGCGATCCTTTCCTCTGATCATAAGAGTACCTTTGCTATTGTCAGCAAAAGTACCTAGTGACATCCAGGAGCCTTCTGGAGTTCTGTGGGAGTTCAAAACTGGCAATCAGAGACTACCAAGGTCAGATGACAATCCAGTAGGACTGAATCAGTCAGATAGTGGGGACTCTGCTGTTGTGAAATAGAGACAGGCATCATAACCACCCTGGGAGCCAGTCCAGAGCATTGTTTCTCCAGACTTGTCTCAAATGAAGTGGCTTGTATAGATGCACCCCAAGATTTGTAATTATATTTCTGTTAGGCCATGGCCAGAGTAATTCTAAATAATGTCCAATATTTCTGGGTTGGGATAAGTTTACACTCCAGATCTAGATGAGATAAAACTAGATTAATTTTGCAGCAGGATAGCTCTGGATGATGAGCTCTATTGTTGTTGTGTACCTTCAAGTCATTTTTAATTTATGGTGACCCTAAAGTGAATTTATCACAGGGGTTCTTGGCATGATTTGTTCAGAGATAGATTGCCTTTGCTTTCCTCTGAGGATGAAAGAGAGAGTCTTGCTCAAGGTCACCCAGTGGGTTTCCATGGCCAAGCAGGGATATGAACCCTGGTCTCCAGAGCTGTAGTCTAACTCCAACATTTTAGCTATTATGATGAACTTTACATGAGCTGAATGCTCGAGGGAGGATGTAACTGAAATTTTTACATAGGACAAAGGAATTAGTTGTGGTTTTGACACTTTTCAATTATGAATGGACTGCATAGGGCCACAGGAAACCACACATTCAGTCCCATATCTGAAAATATACCAGTTACCAGTATACAATAAACATTCACCTGAATTGCTGAGTTTTCTTGGGGATTGTGATCATCTTCTTTAGTGGCACAAGTTTGGTTCTCCATTTATAGTAGCAAAAAACCACTCCAATCACAATCAAAAACACAATAGAAACCAGGATTCCTACTGTGATAGCAAGAAGATCTGTATGAAAAAAAAACACAAGGGAAATGCATTGATGTTACTTGTGTCCTACTTTAATGCTTCTTCACCCATGCTAATCAGATGCAAGAAACTAGAGGACAGGTATCCTGTTCTTAATACTTGAGTGAAAGATGAATTGCAGCAAATGTTTTTTATCACATGAGGGAGGAAAACTCTAACAGTCTAAAGACCACTGCTACCCAGCCAAATTGGTCTTAATGTGCTCTCTTGCTTCTGACCACCCTAACCTTCAGCAACAACCCCCCTCCCCAATTCACAGGTCATTCCTACAAATAACATGAATCAGACCCACTTTTTGGAGGCATGGGGCCACTGTCCAGGCTTCCCCCATTCCCGGATTTATCACAAAATGGAGGTGCCCATCCACTGAAACAATGGCAGTTCTGATTGTTGTTGCAAACCTGTAGAGAAGACAATTACAGAATATCCAGATTACAGCAAACACTGATTGTTTCAATCCCTCCCAAACCGCATCCACATATGAAAGCTTCAATGAGTAAGGAGGACCTGCACCATCTATTGGCATCTGTTTGTAAAATTCAAAATCTACATGAAGAATAACCCTGAGAACCAATCACCCTTTCTGGGAAATGCAGGTTTGAACATTATTTTCATTGCTATCAGATGCTACCTGAGTTCCAGGGGATATATTTCCATCAATCAAAAGTCTCTTAGAGCATAAGCACATTCCTGAAATAGGATGGAGACAGCTCCCCACTATTTTTAACTTTTCAGCATATCTTCCCCCTAATATTGTCTAGCTGCAACAGGTGGGGATAGCATCTTCTCAAATGCAACTTAACACATCAATTTCATGTTCAAAAAGACCCAACAGTATTTTCTTCTATGCTTAACAAATCATTAGGAGCCTACATTCACTGTCTTTGTTAGGTTCAAGAAACATTAAAAAGCTCCAGTTAAATTTCATCCTGGAGGACATTATCCCCTAACATTCTGTGTTGTAACTGGTAGCTCAGATCCTACCCACCTCTAACTTTGTAAAGTCCAATGGAAATTCTGTTTGTGTGTGGATTTTATTATGAAAAATAGTCCAACAGGAAAACAGATCCTGAATTAACCATCTTGAATTAACCATAGGCAATTTAATCTGCCTTCCTCTTTACATAATCTTCATCATTAAATACGAAGAATAGATATATATCAAAAAATCTAAAGGCCTTTCAACCTGTTGGTTTATTTTAAAATGCATTTTAAGAACTAAAATAGTTTCATTTTCCATTTTTCTTATTTGAACAATTGGAAAAATGGATTTGGGCTTTTACCTAGAATTATGAATGAAATGTTTAAGAGAAGAAATGTGTTTATTTTGTATATTTATGCTATCAATTCTTTCTAAAAAACAGAAATGTTTCTAAAAACATTTCCTAGTCTTGGTATCCTTTCTACAGTTCTTTTTATGGGAACAAATGCTTCATGCCCCTTAAACACAATAGAAAGTTTCCAGTGACAAAATTGTTTTCTCTGTTTTACAGTTGTTGATGGTTGTTCTGTTTTTATTGTTTATGTCAATAAATTGACAAAAACGAATAAGTAGATTTTGTTTAGGACCTTGTAAGACCATTTATAATGAAATGTAATTAACATATCAGTTTGCAATAACTATACTTTTAATATACTTAATATTATCATTCTAGTCAAATAAAACTATATAATTTTACCTGGTTGTGTGTGGATTTCATTATGAAAACTAGTCCAATAGGAAAAAAGAACTTGTATTATGTATATAATACAATTTATGTTTCTGAAATAACAAAAGTGCTGTTATGGCAATGCTATAATAGCATTTTCTTTGTGCCATTTATCTAAAGCAGTGATTCCCAAAGTGGGTGTTACTGCCCCCTGGTGGGCGCTGCAGCGATCGGGGGGGGGGGGTAATGGCCACAGGTGCGTTTGGGCGATGAATAACTGTAAGGGGCAGGTGAAAGCATAAAAGAAAGAAGAGAAGATTTAGAAAAATTGATTTCCAGGAGGTAGGCCAAATAAGTTTGGAAACCACTGATCTAAAGGAAGTTTTCCATTGCCGTCCTTTGAAGATGAAAGAATGTTATTTTCCCAAGGCCATCAAGACAGCTTCCTTGGATGAGAAGGGATTTGAATCCTGGTTTCCCAAAATTCAAGCCTAACATTTAAATTACTGCACCTTGCAGATTTAATTTGCAAAGCAGTATAGCACAAAATGGCAGTCCACAACTTCCTGGTAGTTTTCTAGGAAGTAACAAAACAACCACAGTCCATGGGCACAAATACAGGCCTGGTCTGTGGCACACTAGGAAAATGTAATTGCTAGTTTCCTAAATATGTGATTCTGAGAACTACAATTGTAGTGGATGCTAATATCACTTATTTACTTTCTTTACGTGACTTTAAAACTTGTGGAAATTGTATATGTACAAACATTCTTTCTGCATCAACTACTACTTAACATAGTTCAATGATACTTAGATATGTTCTTTTAACAGTTTTATATACTATTTTAAATAACATTCCCTACCTCAATCTATAAAGAGAGCCAAGTAAATTATTATTATTATTGTTATTATTATTACTATTATTAATAATAATACTTAGCAAATAAAACAGACACACAATATATATCCAACTAAAATTCCAGAAGTCAAGATACTTACTCCATGACCATTGCATTTCTTCTCACAGTCTCCAGTTTCAAAAAAGGAAGTGTTTTGACAATGTCCTTCAAAGCAAATCTGTAGGAGAAAAACATTAAGAACAACACTGAAAAAATGGAGAACACTATGAAGTTGTTCAAATGCAAGCCATCATAGAGTTGGAGGATAATCCATGTTTTACGGCACAAAAAAAGTGTGTCATACTTAACTGTGCTGAACATTGTCTTCCAAGAGACCATTGGGGATAAGATATAAGGGTGCAATAGGAAACAGGCACTTACATGACTGTCTCCACACTTTGTTCCGGCCATCACTAATCCAGGATCCAACATATCTCCTTCATTTTCTTCATTTTGATATACGTGAGTTCCACGACAGCGGATCTGCCTTCCATTTAATAAAATGGTTGTGTCAATTGCAACAGCATTGGATTCCAAAGGCTTGGAAGCAGAACTCTGACACTGTATCTTGCCACACTTTGCATCTCTGGTGAAATAAGATGCTATAGGTTAAAAAGTCAGATTAAATGCATGATGATTTCCACAAAGATTTGTAGTGCCCGTGATGTCTCAAAACCTTCAACAGGATCAGTTGCTGATAATCCAAATTGAAGTTAATTAAATTCAAAACTAGATTGCTGTTCTGTCTCCCAGAGCCTAATACTCAAACCCAGACTTATCTTCAGATCTCCTGAAAACTAGCCAGGGATTAATGTTATGTTTTCAGGCATAGTTGTGGGAAAAGTCAGTTCTAAGAGGAGATGAAAGGAGGAATAACTTCACCACTACCATCCTTTTCCTAAACAGAAGCCCCCTTATTAGGTAGAGAATCTGCAGTCCCTCAAGAGGCATGGAACTAAAACTCCCATCATTCCTATCACTGGTCAACCTTGCTAAGAATGATGGTTACTGGAGTCCAGCAGATTATGGGATGACCATTTTCCCCAACCCCAAGGCAGTGAATATAATAACCAATGTAGCACTAAAGTTAGGAATTCCATTGTAATAAGATAACAACTCTGCTAAGGAATCGATATTAATTTGTAGTCTATAATAGTATAGATTTACTTAATTTTTGAACCTTTAGCATTTCATCCCATATAGTTTGGATTGCTTTCTACCTTGTATTGCACTTCTTGTATCTGCCATAGATGTCCTTTCCACAGTTCCCATAAGAATCTCCTGCAGCATTAACCTTCTCAAAGCAGAGGTCAGGTGCTGGCCTTGCTCCTGTGTAGAAGTAATTCCTAGGATTAGTCTCCATAGAAGAGGGAGCTTGTGCAAGCTATAACCCATCTGCAGTAGCAACTTGTGGCTTCCATGTCATTAGACGATGAACCTGCCCCATGTTTCTGTCTCAACTTTTCAGAAAGTATCCATGACACTGAACATATTATTGCAAGGGCAGAGAAGATATTCAGCACCTTGGATAACTTCTTCAAAGTTCAGTCTGAAATCTATCATTGTTTAGTGACATAAGCCACCAGTAATCAATGCCCACCAAATTTCATCCACAGTTCTGGTTTCACACCCAGTGTCCTTGTCAGATTAAAAAAAGCAGAAAGATGAAAAAGGGCATTATTATTTAAGATACTAAATCTAAGACAGTATAACTCTTCTTATGATATGAACTAGCATGACAACAAAATTAAAAAATACATACCATGGGACCTATGTTTCAGTTTAGCAAATGACATGTCTTGGTATGTGAATTTGTGATACAACTCATATAAATTTTAAGTGATAGATTTAAGGTTTCTAGGAGGATAATAAGATGAAAAAAGATCCCACTACATTAGAGGCAAAATAAAAAGAAGAGAAATTGAGCCACATTCTATATTTCCTAAAATTGTGTAATTTAAATGCACTGGTTTAGTCTTCGAACATCTGAGAATTTGACAAGATAAACATAAACATAAACATAATAATAAACATAATAATAATAATAATAATAATAATAACAAGAATAATTTTATTGTTGTATATCTTCAAGTCATTATGAACTTATGATGACTCCAAGGCAATCCTATCATGGGGTTTTCTTAGTAATATTTGTTCAGATGGAGTTGCCTTTTTCTCCCACTGAGGCTGAGTATGACTTGCCTAAGATTGTAATATTCAGTGGGTTTCCGTGGCTGAGCAGATATTTGAATCCTCTTCTCCAGTTATCCCCCAAAGTTCAAACCACAGCACATACCAGACGACTTATAATGTAATAGCAAGTAGTCATTAACAGCTGTGGTATAAATGGAATGTCATGAGATTCCATTTTTCTTAACCTATACCATGTAATTTAGCTCTTCCTCCTAAAACTCCTTCTTCTACTCAAAGTAGGGAGATTTAAGTCTATGTCCCACTTTCTTCAATCTGAACAAACTGCAGGAACCATTTGTTTCTTAATTCCCCAAACCTTCAAGATGCAAGCCTTTTCTCCACCATTTGATGACTTTCTCTTCTCAGAGAACAGCTTACCATAACCCCAGAGTTGCACGCACTGCTGTTCATACGTGAGGCACATCCCACTGTAGCAGTAGGCTCTTCCGTCTGCACATGGAGTACCATCCAACTGGTAGAAGTTTGCAGGGCAGAAAGGGGATTTGCCTGTACAATATTCGGGCAGGTCACATGATCTAGCCTGTTCCCGGCAAAGAGTTCCTGGTGCAATCAACTAAAGAAAGGATACAAACAGCAATTTCAGTGACATTCCAGTGACTTAAGTGAGCTCTAAGTAGTGCCTCAGGTGAAAAGGCTACTCTTTGGATCAATGGTGGTTTCTCCCATCAATTTAAATATTGATATTAATTTGCTTCAAGATATCATTCACCCATCCACTCAGAAAATTACAATAAAAGCACATATTGGAGTCCCCTGCTTATTTGCAGTTCAGGGACCACAGTACTGTGAAAAAGCAGAAACTGTTGAAATGCATTAAGTGCCATTGTGAATATCATTGTACAGTGTTCTTGTACCTAATCTGTCAAATAAGTGGGAGATACATTGATTTTCCATTGAGAAACCTCCTTTATTTGATTTGGCAGTCAGTCCTTAGAATTACCAGAGTGAAATCACTAGTCATAATGTTCTTGATTTAGAACAGTTATAATTACAAAGAGCTCAAAGTGCTTTGGAATAATAAGGAAAATTGTCTGACATTGAGATCCTTATGAGACAATCCTAGAGTTTTCTTGGGAAGATTTTTGCCAGTAGGGTAGCTGTTTGCCTTCCTCTGAGGCTGAGAATATGGGACTTGAGATCATCCAGTAGGTTTCCAGGGATTCATGGGATTCAAATTCTGGTCTCCTGTTTAGCTTTACTTTTCGTACCCTATACTGCAGTTCCCATTTTGTTGGATTTTTGTGAAATACTTGTTCCTGGTACATTGCTGGCCTTCGTCTTTTATTCAGACTAGGCTTGATTGACAGGGCGGGGATCAGGTAGTTTTTCTGTTCTATGCTGCGTCTGGCATATGGTGCAGTGGGAATTGTTGAGTCCATGGCTCTAAAGTCACCAGCAAAAATATTTTGATTGGGTGAGATGATGGCGAGCATCACCAAATAATCTCTGTTTGAATAGATGAGACTATATCATTTTCTTCCTAGATTCAGCAGAGTGGTAAGAAAGAAAACATGATGTGTTCATAAAATCTAAAGGAAACGTGTATACAATACATCCTCTTTATTCACTGATTTGATATCTACAGTTTCTTACTCATGCTTCAAAATATCCTCCTCCCCTGAAAGCTTCTGTGGTGTCTCCTCCTTCTGTGCTGTCTCCTCCTTTAAGGCTCCTTCTTCACTGTCAGATCACCCAGGTTATCGAAACAGAAAATCCACATTATCTGATTTGAACTGGATTAGTTTAGATCTTTTCCACACAGTTATATAAAATACACATTGAACTGGATTATATGGCAGTCTGGACTCAGATAATCCAGTTCAAAGCAGATATTGTGTTTTATCTGCCTTGATATTCTGGGTTATATGTGGAAGAGTTATTGGGTTTTCTGCTTTAAACTGGATTATATGAGTCTGCACTGTCACATAATCTGGGATAAACAGAAAACCTGAGACCATATTCTGGGATATAGGGCCTGTCTGGAAGGGCCCTAAGTCTACACTGTCATATAATCCAGTTCAAAGCAGATAATGTGGATTTTATACAATTGTGTAGAAGGGGCCTAAGCTCTCGAGTGAGATGCTATAGTATGTTTCCATCCCAAGTATTGCCAAAATATAGAGTTTTATATTATCCATGAATTTCCCTTCCAAGAAGTAGATTTTTCTCACTTCCTATTGACTCATGTCTATTTGTAAGTCAGATGTTTGTAACTTGGGTGCTGCTTGTATGTGCGAACCCAAAAATATTAATAATTGATAATAATTCAGAAAGACTATAACATTTTCAGGGAGCTATACTTGAAAAGAGTAACTTGTCCAAGCTCTGGAACCAATTCTCATCACTGGAGAAGCAATGGCTGTTTAACACTGCTGTGTATGTTGGCTCTTTGCCAGTATGCAGACAGCTGTATGCAGCTGCTAACATGTAGACGATTAAGCTGCCACATGCCATTAAAAATAACCCAAAATACACATTGCCATTGGTTTGTTGAATCCTGCATGCAAAGTGGTCCTATCTGACCAGCTCGCCAAGTATTGGGCCAATGTGTGGACCCTTTAAGCACTTGGAATTGGAGGAGGAGTAAGAAAAGAGTTCCCATACCAACACTATTTTCACTACATTTTCCTAGGAAAGTTGTGGTGTAAACTGAGACACAGGAATCTCTTGCCTCCATATAGAGCCAGCCCCACCCTACCCTAAAGTTGGTTGGTCAAAGAATTCAGTTCTGCCGTATAGAAGGCAGTAGAGCAGATGGCCATGAGCCAAGGTGCCAAAAGAGAGCACCCTCTGTGTTTCCAAGTGCTTGTTTTATCTTTGCAGTGACTGGGGCACGGAGCGGCTCCCCACAGCAAGAGACACTGGTAATATAATCAGGATGAATAGCACTCCTCTGATCCCAGCCAAGCCAGAGGCCTGCCCTGAAAAAAAAGCTCTCCACTTGCAGTTGTTAAATCCCATAATCGCCAGGAGACTCCAGTATAAGCCAAAACAGCTGGCGAGGGAAGGTGACTCCCCAAAGATACATAGGAGAATTAAAGAAGTGGCCCTTTCACAATCCTGCTTTGGGCTAGAGACACCTGGAGATTTCAGTCTACAGACTGTCATAAAATATAGAGTAACAGAAGTCATTTCAGGAAAAACCTGCCCCAAAAATATAATACAAATCTGGCATTGTTGGATGGCATTGATACATAGAGGGCTTGCAGATGGTTAAAATGGCCAAGTGCGTGTGGATTAAATGCAGAGAAGTGTGTGTGTGTGTGTGTTTTAATTTTCTCGTTGCCACTTCAGTATAGTACACACTGATATACAAGAGAACAGAGACACTTTAATATGCAAGTGTCAGTGTAGTGTAACAATTTTGAAGACTGAATGGGGACTGCATAGTAGATTTAGGCAGCTTCCCCATTGGGCTGAAAAACTCACTCTGGGCCAGTCACTTTCTCTCAGCCTGATCTACCTAATAGGGCTGTTATGAAGATGAAGTGGGAAAGAAGGGAGAAATGTATGCCTCCTTAGCTTATCACAAGAAAGGTGGCATGTAAAGGTAGCAAACAGACAGAAAAATGTACTGTTGTTTCTTCATATTTGCAGATTTAACTTTCATGGATTTGATTTTTCAAAGAGTTGATTAATATGTTCTCTTTAGGAATCTCCAGGTACTCTGAGGTGGTTCTATGATTAACTTCCAACTGAAGTTCATCATAGAGTCACTCTGGAGGACCTAGATATTTCTATGGAGAGTACTTCTCTATGAACCTCTAGGTCCTCCAAGGTGATTCTGTTGTTAACTCCAGCAAAGGTTGATCATAGAATTCCTAGAAAAGAGTTTTCTCAGGTGAAAAACTTTTTTACTCATGATTTTGCACTTTTGTGTGGGTCCTGCACCCCTTGTACAGTATGTGGAGTGCTGCACACGTATTCTTCCATTTAACATTACTACCAGAGTTTTTAAAGAAAACTGTGAATGAAGTTCATGCGGCCTAATATCCAAATTAGCTCCAGATTGTCTGATTGCACCATCTACTTTTCATTTATATACAGAAGCAGCAGATCCTTCTTTCAGTGTGTCGTTCAGAGAGAAACCAGGTAAGCTTACCTTGCACAGGTGACAGCAAGTTCCATGAGCACATTCGGCACCGGGCTTCAGAGAGCAATCGGCAGCATTGCAACAAGGATTGTTACATTCCTGGGAAACAGACAAAAGGAATAAAACACTTGATGTGTTTGCAGAGCATACGTTCTGAATCTAAAAACATTGGAACTCATCTGGTGCTTCTGTTAGGATGGATTGTAAGATTGTTTTAGCTACATATGCTCTCAGTCTTCAACCCAAATGCATCAGGGAGTCTGAACTCGTCGTCATAGCATATTTTTCAATTATCTTGCTGCCATCATGGTGTGTAGCCAATAGATTCCAGCTTTTGCTACCCCCCCCCCAAAAAAAAAGTAACAGGGACAACAATGCACCAGACACTTGATGTAAAGTGCCAGGGACCACTCAGAATCAAATATAGGCAATATTAGTCTTGAAAAATAAACAGTCTAGCTTCTTGAGAAGCCAGATCTGGCCATGGTGGAACATGCCTTAGTTACATCCCATTTGGGTTATGTAACACGCTCTACGTGGGGCTGCCTCTGAAGCATACTTGGAAACCTCAGCTGGTCCAAAGAGCTGCAGCCAGGTTGATCACTAGGGCTGGTTACAGGGAGCAGACAATCCCCCTGTTGCAGCACCTCCACTGGCTGCCAGTCTCAAGGCACAATTCAAAGTGCTGGTTATGTCCTTTAAAGCCCCAGATGGTTCAGGTCCAGGCTATTTGTCTGACAATATCCCCTTGTAGAAACCTGCTCAAATCTTGAGATTTTCAGGAGAGCCCTTCTCTTGTTCCCACCTCCATCTCAAGCCCAGTTGGTGGGAACAAGAGAACAGGCCTCCCTTCTCTGTGGCTGTCCCTTGACTCTGTTCCACTCCCTTCTTCCACTCCCTTCTTCCCAGGAAAGCCAGAATGGCCTCCTCCTTGCTGTCCTTCCAGCGGCAGGCTAAAATCTTTTTATTCAGACAGGCTCTCAAAGAAGGTTTTTAAGATCACATCAGTGGGTGCTGTGATTTTAACTTTGAATATGCATTGGGTATGTTTGAATGATTGAAAACTGTGAATTTTTAATACTGTTTTATTTATATTTAATTCTGTTTTAATGTTTGTGTATCTGTATATTTAAATTGTGTACTTCATGTCAAGGAGAGATAATGCTTCAGGAAAGATAAAGCAAGGTATAAATAAATATCATAATAATGTGTTGTCAAAGGCTTTCAATGGGTTGGTGTTAATTTTAGATTATGTAAGGAAGACATATGAAAGGTAGAAATAAAAGATTAATGACAATTGGACTTATGAAGCACCATCAGTTTCCAATCAAGGGTTTATTATAGAAATGGCAAAATATTTGGGGGGGGGGGGTAAGCAGGATCCATAAACATTGTTCAAAGTCACTGAACTGGAGATCACATAGTTTTATTTTCACCATTCTTTGTCCACACTTGATCCCATATTTTAGTTTTTAATTATAGAGTTATAGAGTTGTAGTCACAGATAGGAGATGATGTCATTAGCAATGCCCTTGAATTGGAAAACAGAATAAAAAGTAGGAATGGAAGTGGAATAAAAATCTGGCAACACCTTCAAGACTAACTGGTTTTTTATGTTAGCATGAACTTTCATGGGTTTAAACCATGTATTTAGATGTAGTACTGAGTGATATTAAGGTCTCAGATATAAAGAATATTTATATAGTTGCTATTATTATATTTGCCACCATGATGGGAGAAAGATGTGCTAAAAATTAAATAAATAAAATGTTCTCCCTCTCCCACAACTATATGAATACACTTTTTACTTGGTGAGATACCATGCTGTAAGAGAGTAACATGGTTCCTTCTTTGAAAACTGAGAATTACCTCCACCTCTCCGCAATCACATTCTTCTCCTTCTTCCAGGTAACCATTTCCACATCGCTGTCCTCCATATAACATCTTAGTATCTGGCATGTTATAGAGACACATCCCGCCACCGGACTGAAGATACCGGTCCAGCTCTTTCTTATTGCAACTATTGAAAACCCTGGGAAATGGGTGCCTGTAAAGAAGCAGGGGAAGTAGGATGCATTACGAGAATTGATCATCATGCATAGTGATGAGTGATACTGAAAGTTTCCATTCGGTCTGTATGTCAAAGCAAATCAACCTGATCTGTACTACCCAGACAAGTGTGAAAATTGGAATACAGCTGTTCCTCAAATATTACACTTCACCAGAAATTGTGGTGGAGTTCTTACAGGCCTGTAACCTCAGTGGGAAAGAGTCATAGTTGACTAACTACCCCACACATCTCTCTGGTCTTTCCATTCCATGAGAGGTCATTGATATACTTTCCTGCACATGCTTGCCTTGCCTGTATGCATATATCCCAGAGTATGAACAATTCTACTTATGCATTGAGCTGGTTCACATCCTCATTATATCAAGGAACTAAACAAGACATCAGATATTTTCTGGTTTTGTATTAGGACTCTGGAAGACTATAATCAAATCTCCATTGAGTTATAGAAACCCATTATTGATCTTGGACAGATCATGCTCTCTCAGCTTCAGAGAAGAAAGCAATGGTAAGCCTCCTCTGAATAAAGCTTGCCAAGAAAACCTAATAATGATTGCCATAAATCAAAGGTGACTTGAAGGTACAAAATAACAAAAAACACACCATACTGCTCCCAGACTAAATAAAAACTTTCTTCTTAATGAAATGAAATGGAGTACAATAATGCAACTCAGTTTTTAGTATATTACTAGCCGACCCCTGCTATGCGTTGCTGTGGCCCAGTCTGGTGATCAGAAAAATAAAGTAATGAGAAAGTGTTGGTTTCGAATATATGTTATTTCTTTATGATTGTGGGTAACCAGTACTTCTTGTTTGTCAGTGTTGATGTAGAGATTGTTTGGTTTGCCTACTCTGGAATATGCAACATATAATTGTCCTTCTTTAGGTGTCCCTTTCAAATCTGTGATACTATATCTGCCATATACATGTGTGTGTGTGTGTGTGTGTGTATGAATCCTATCTATCTATCTATCTATCTATCTATCTATCTATCTATCTATCTATCTATATCTATGGCTGGACAGCTCTTTGTCAGGAGGTCTTTGATTATGTTTTCTTGCCCTGGTGAAGGGAGTTGGACTAGATGGCCTTAAGGCAGCATTTCTCAACCTAAGAATCAGGTCGTGAGGGGGTGTCAGAAGGTTTCCACAAAGACCACCAGAAAACACAGTATTTTCTATTGATCATGGGAGTTCTGCGTGGGAAGTTTGGCCCAAGTCTATTGTTGGTGGGGTTCAGAATGCTCTTTGATTGTAGGTGAACTATAAATCCCAGTAACTAAAATCCTCAAATTTCAAGGTCTATTTCCCTCAAACTTCATCTGTGTTCATATTTGGGCATATGGAGTATTCGTGCCAAGTTTGGTCTAGATCCTTTATTGTTTGAATCCACAGTGCTCTCTGGATATAGGTGGACTACAACTCCAAAACTCAAGGTCAATTCCCACTAAAACCTTCTAGTGTTTCCTGTTGGTCATGGCAGTCCTGTGTGCTAAGTTTGGTTCAATTGCATCATTGGTGGAGTTCAGAATGCTCTTTGATTGTAGGTTAACTATAAATCCCAGCAACTACAACTCCCAAATGTCAAAATCAATGTTTTGAGTGATGGTTACTCCTTGGGTTAGTAGGTGTCTTGTGGCCAAATTTGGTGGCAATTAGTCAAGTGATTTTTGAGTTATGATGTCACTCAAAATGAACAGAGCATTGATAGATAGATAGATAGATAGATAGATAGATAGATAGATAGATAGATAGATAGATAGACAGATAGATGATAGATAGATAGCAAAGATGCAAAAGAGGTGGTGGAGACTCACCCTGTTGCAGCAGCCATGATGCACCCTCCATCTTTGGCACTGGCAGTGCAGCAGCCAGTTGAGTCATGGCTCATGCCAAAGTTGTGCCCCATCTCATGGGCCATTGTGGCTGCAACTCCAATGGCATTGTCTGAGTGATCCTGTGCAGGTAGAGGATCAAATGTAAGAGTCCACATATTGCATAGTATGGCTGTAAGAGTGTACTATCCAGCTCAAATGACAGGCCTAGCTGATGGTGTAAAATATGAAAATGCAGTCTGAAAATCTTTCTTTTGGGGGAAATAATTGACAATGCTTGGCAATTTCCTTGTTTTTTCTTTTAGTTACATTATGTCACTCTGTCATAATGTCAATAATTTAAAAATGAAAGAGAATAACTCACCATATTCACTCCTCCAGACTGATAGGCAGAACACATGGCCATCAGAGGGGCCAAGCCTATAGTAGTACCATGGAAAGACATGCCACTGAAACACATAGTGAAATATCAAATATAAGAATTGCAATGCAGTCCTCAGTATTTAAAAATACACCAAGAACCTTGTGTGTTCTCCTAACCTTAGAGTTAAAGGGAACTACAAAAATAAAGCCATAGATTGTTCTCTTTCACATACACGCATACAAACACAGTTTCTAAAATTACACATGTCACTGAGCATCTTTAACTGGGATTGGTTTTTCATGATTTTGACATCTCCAAAAAGAACCAGCCAAATGGAAGAAAATTCATGGAGAAGAAATCAATGACAATATATTTTGATAATTCAAGGATACCTAAAGTGAGATAAAGAAAACATGCTGATAACTTCTGCTTACTGTATATTTTCATGTATAAGTCAACCTCATCTATAAATTGAGGACAATTTGGGGTCAAATAATTGATTTTTATATGACCCATGGATAAGATGAGATTCATTCTTCAGAGAGGGAAAAGCACCAATGTCAACTTGGGACCAGCAGTCCCTGGCTGCCGTAACCATTTCCCAACCTAGGCATTCAGAAACACCAGAGGTGATGCCATGGCAGAAAGAGAGAGTTGGTACTTATTTTAAGTTCTTCTAGGATGGACCAAACTATTGCCGTTTACTGCTCTATTCAGAGGAAGGATTCCATTACTCACATTTGCCTGTGGATAAGTTGACCCAGGTTTGAATGTGTGTGTATGTGTGTGTGTGATTTTTTAACTAAAATTTCTAAACTTATACATGAGTGTATAGGACAAATCTATATCAACAGTGTGCCTTCTCTCTGTTAAATACCAAGATATGTACCTGATAACTAATTTATTGTGAGCCAAAAACTCCAAAACTTTTGTTTGGATAGTTGTGGAAAGTATCCACAACTCTGCAAAGGAAAGTGAATGGATTATCACTATGTCCCTTGGCTGTGAAAGTTATACCCATAGAAAATGTGGTGAGTAAATATGCAACTCTGTTACAATTAATAATGTGGAACAAGTTCAAATTTGTTGTCGAAGGGTTTCATGGCTGGAATCACTGGGTTGCTGTGAGTTTTCTGGGCTGTATAGCAGAATCTTTTTGGGACATGGCCATACAGTCCGGAAAACTCACAGCAACCCAAGTTCAGATATATTTCTTTATATGAAGGGATACGTAAATGCTTTCTTTTTAAAATATACTTATAGGTTTACAGTCATAATTGCAGTCTATTCTACTGAAACCCAAAGCAGAATGAGTAGTTACACCGTTACACAGAATCGGTTCAGTTCTTATCTTACAACTACAACAAGAGCCACATTATTTCTATTAAAATGACTTACGTGATCAGTTGGGCATTGTCATGTTTTCTATACTTGAGAATTTTTCGCCTCCAAGACAGAAAGGACCATAAGGTTGAATGTGGATTTTCAGAGATCTCACACATATTGTGGTCATTCCAGACTTCAAGTCCAACCAGAGCAATCCGTATGTTCAGAGATTTATAAAACTGAAGGATTAAAATGAAAAAGGAGACCTGTAGTTAATTAAATGTCTCAGTTTTCATCTCACTGGTTAACTTCCAGCAATATTACAAAATCTTAAATAATTTAAAATAAATTATAAGAAGTTTTAAAGGGTAATACAAAACAACTGGAAACCATTTAAATTCATAAATACCCACAAGGTACCAGATCCCAGTTGAGCTTGGAAATTAAGCAGGATCACTACTGGTTAGAATAATAGAATCATAGAGTAGAATCCTATGGGCTATCAGCTCCAGCCTCCTATTTAATGCAGCCAGAGCAACCTCAGCAGGTAGTTGTCCAGTCTCTTTATAAAGATATCTAAGGAAGGTGACTCCATCCACCACGCCTCTAGGCAATTGGATCCATTGATGAACCACTCCCACTGCTAAGAAGTTCCTTCTAATGTTCAATCAAAATCTACTTTCCTATAGCATAAAACTATTAGACCTAGTCTCACTCTCTGAGGCAACTGAGAACAAGCCGGCACCCTCCTTTTTGTGGCAGCCCCTAAGGTATTTAAAGAGTGCAATTTGTTACCCTTCATTCTTCTCTTCACCAAGCAGAGTTCAAACTTGGATTGGAAGCCATCCAGAAATACCAGGTGCTGTAGAATCTATTTCAGAGCAAGGCAGTGGCAAACCACCTCTGACTATTCATTGCACAAGAAAACCCATGACATCCGTGGGGCCACCATAAGTTAACAAGCAATTTGAAAGATCACATTTTGCTTTTCTTACAGTACATACGAACTCCATAATCAAGTCAGTCTTTAGTGATTTGGCTTAATTGTGAGTTATATTTCTAAGAACATGCTGTACCATGTCAGTTTTTATCTAATTTACACAGAAAAGAAAATATATACAGCCATGTATCAAAGTGTTGACTCTGTGTCCTCTTTCTATTAAGTCTTTGAGATTCTTAGGCCGAAACTAGAGAGAACCTATAAATGGATGCAGTTAGTCCCTGATAGCTCTTTTATTTGGAAATGCAACTCCAGAGGATTATGCAGGGTTGGGTTACTGAGAAGCTGAGAAATAGCCTGGAGAAAGACTCAGAATCACTTGCTTGCCTACCATGTCTCTGCTTCAAATGCTCTCCCACTGGTTCCCCTACAAGAACAGTAGAGTTCCTCTGAAGCATGCAGCTGGAATCCCACAAGAGAAGTGATCAGAGCAGGTGAGTGTTTGGAAGATGGGAGGAGAATGGCAATACACTCTTCCCAACCACTGCTTTAGTCCAAATCATCCTCACCAACCAATTTTCTTCCCAGAAATAAAGGGTTGCCATCTGCATGAGGTCTTGAACTTTTGCCCACTTAATCATGCCCCTCTTCTTGTTAAACTGACACATCTGATCTTACCTTATCTACATAATTGGCAGCTTCCACTAACTTATTCTTGGTTGCTTGGAGATCATAATTGTGCTTCTGAAACTGAAAGGTATTTTTAAGAGCAAATAAGAATCATTCTGAAATAAACTGTAGCCATTCCTAATTTTTGTAATAAATCGATGCCGACAATTTCAGTTATGGTCTCTCTAGGAATTTCCTAGGCCTTCCAATGCAGCTTATAACTATCTATGAATCTCTATGTCCTCCAACACATCTGACATGTTGGGACCAGAAGTCTTGTTATTTAATGCTGTTCAGTCGGATCCCCAGTTTCAGGAGACTATGGTCCAACTGGAAACCAATCCAACAGATATATAAGGCTCTCACTGTATTTCTGTAGTATTCTGGGCGGGTTCTCTCAAGATGCTTTCCTCACCCTGGCTAGCCATTGTTTCTGGGAATTTAACAACAATCCATGAAGGTTAGTTTAACCTATGCATATTTTATATTTCAAGGCTTTGGTATAATAATTATAGCTAACACATTTCTCTCCCTGGTCTCTACTCTTCCAGAACATGCTTAAAGAAAACCATGAAGCAGAAAAAAGTATTCAGAATTATCACATGCATATATTCTTTTCATTGACTTATTTTATTATTTCAACCTCACAATTTTCTGATTAATTAGATAGGTCAAGTTTGTTTTTGTTTGTTTGTTTTTTACAAAATGACAAAAGTGTCTTAAGTGCCCAACTTGTCCATTTGTCTCATTACACTAAGCAGTAAGCAAATAGGAAATGTCCACTTATGCAACAATATTAGAATAGCATGCCAAATTCTAAAACTAGCTCTTAAAATTATTTTAGATTGCTCCTACACCAACAACTCCATCCGCACTGTCGAATTATGCAAAACTGATGTTTTATTGCTCATCCAACTCAGACTGAAAGGTCTCAATATAATTGTATACCCTAGACAGCTGAGATGCAAACTAAAAGCAGATTTGAAGAAATGGTGGTTCCCCAAACTTCAGTTCCCACTAGCCCAACAAGTCTGGACAATGCTGAAGCATGATGGGAGCAGTAATCCATCAAAACCTGGGGGACAACAAGTTATCCAGTCCTGATTCTAAAAGGTTCAAACTGCATCTACTTTAAACAATTTTGTACACATCTGATTCAAATGGAATCTGCATCCTATTAATCAGTGTGAATTATCCATTTGAATCAGATGTGTACAAAATTGTTTAAAGTAGAGTGTAAAGAGTCTTTCTATTGTACATAATGCAGAACAGTTGTAACATTATCCTGAACATGGAATCTGGAGGTTTTTGGCTGAGACCACTTGGATTCTCTCCACGCACATAGCATGTGCTATATACAACAATGTTCTAAATCCCCTTTCCTTCTGCTCATCCAGTTACATCACCCTCAATAGCCTCAGGGCAACTCATCTGCTCCAGATGTTTGTGTAGCAACCTTGGCAATTTGCAGTGCTGGCCATAATTCATGACTTAAATGAGCACAGATGAAGTTTCTGATCTGCAGAATCTGCAAAGGATACAGCAATGACAGATATATGCCTTGCACTTTCCTTTAATTTTACTGTCTGCTAATAGTGTTTAGTGTTTATTTCTCATGTTGAGCCTAGTAATTCAATATGTCATTTATGGAACTTATTACTTGTTTTAATGATTACTGAGTTATTTGTGAATTTTTAATTGCTTGTTTTAATTATGTTTTGCTGCTGTTTATCTCTATTTTGTTTTTGTCTTTGTAAGCTGCCCTGAGTCCCTTTGGGGAGAGAGGGTGGGTTATAAATGCAATTCTTGTTGTTGCTGTTGTTGTTGTTGTTGTTGTTATTATTATTATTATTATGATTATTATTATTATTATTATTATTAGTGTATTTATTTATGGAGCAACTATTATTAGGGTAGAGGCAAGAAATATGTGCCCCTCCAGGAGAAATGGACTATAGGCTCCATAATGTCAGAGCAGTGGTCTTGCTGGGTGGAGTTACTGGTTCTTAGAAAGTAATGTCATCTGGAGAGCCACAGTTTCCCCATATCTGGATTAATAAAATTATCCATTTTTAAAAATAAAAATTAGATGTTTATTTGTTATCCTTTGCCCATTCTCACTGAGATCCCTAAACAAATAATTATATTTAGTTTATCTAGTACTACAACAAGGAAACCTAGACATCTGGAAACCCCAGAAGACTTAGAAATGAGTTAAACATTGGCACAGTTTTTAAATGACTTCAAAAGAAAGAAATGCCATTTCGCCCCTACTCCAGTCTCAAAGCAGAGAGTCACAGCCTTTTCAACTCTGACAATAACATCTGGTGATGAGTGTGGGCCACAGATGCATATTCAGGCCAACACAGCAGGGTGTAACAAGCCATTTTGGAAGAGCTATTGCTGATGGTTTAGTTTTACTGTTGCCAAATTCCTGTGATTTCAGAAGCCAAGGGGAAGTGTCACCACTCAACAGCCCTGCTGGTCATATGAGCTTCAGGGGAAAGCACCAGGGGAGTCCAAAACATTTCAAGGACCACCAGGCAACAACCAAAGCTTTACATAACCCTAGAATCTCACACTGTGCTCCCCAACACACAATAAATTATGGCCAGTGGTTCAGCAGGGCCTGCACAATCGGCCTATAAAATGTATGTCATTAAACAACGTATTCACTCTGTGATATTCAGGTGATCAGAAAATGTTAGTTGTGGTAGCACAAAGAATTTAGAGACATGGTCTATAGTACCATCAACCCCTGGTGTGTATGTTTGTGTAAGTGAGTGTGTTTGCAATGGGGGTGATATGCTGGGTACACACATTCTCTAATTACTAATTTCCAAAAGAGAAGACAAATATTACAAAAAGGTGCAATGTGGGACTCTTGTTACTACAGATCAATCATATTAGTAGCAGCCACAACTCTCAACAAGGAGTGTGCATGGTAGGGGGGATGCATTTAAAATAAAATGATGTCATGTGCCTGAGAACAGTTAACTAGATCTGGGAGCAACCAGCTCCAGGTTGCTTGATTAGAAACAGATTTCAGCATGTTTTTAACATCTCTGTGAATTGCTTACATGCAGTACGTGAAACAAAAGGGTGGCCTCAATACAGTTTCATTTTTTAGTACATGTTTCAAAAGGAGGGCTGGTTGTTAAATAAACTTGGCTGGAGACTGTTGGCTGAAAATTTGCAGTGCCACTGCAAAGCTGGATTTTGGAAATGCATGGAAACAAACAATGCTGGGACTTCTGATCTAAAGAACATGCTGCTCAAAAGGTTCATGATCTGAGCTCCAGGCAGTCCAATTTTTAGGTAAAAACAAACACATGCAAATCCAAATTTAACTGGAGGTGAAGAAGTCAAGCTGTTTTTCCTCATGTCAATTAAAAATGCTGCCTCATTTCCAAATTACTACCAGCTCTTTTGGAGAGAACATATCATTTACTGCTACACACAGTCATACACCAGTGGTATCTGATGGCTTCCACTTCAGGGATACAATGGAACTGCTCTCATTTTCATTCCATATTTCAAAGGAACTATCCAAGGTGCTGCGCTTGTTTGATGGGTGGGCTTCAGCACCTTGGATTACTCCTTTAAATGTTGATTTAAAACCCAGAATGTTTCTTTCCTATCGTACTCCAACATGGAAATTACTGGCCACTATTCAGACATACACATACATCCAAAAGAATCACTGGGGGTTCTAAGCATTGATTTCCTGTGTTATGTGTAGTTTGTTCCTGAAACACCATCTGCATTCTATATTTGCTTCTGATCTGGCATAAATTTATCTACACATCTTACCTCAGCAAAATCAGCTACCAAAAGAAGCTCCACATATTTCATAGACTGCTGATCATCCCTCTTTATCTATGATAGAAGCATTGAAACATGCATACTGAATGATTTCATAAGGTTTTTCAACATGGAAAATATACTTTTTACAATAAAGAGAAGGGTATAAAAACTGGTTTAAGGCAGATAATTACAAGTGTTTATCATCTTCAAAATGGGCATTGATGACATGACATATGATGGCACAATTTTAAATTCTATGATATTCTAGGAATTGTTCTCCTACACTTAGATCCTTAGACGGTTTCCTCTTCTTCATCTCACACTCAGCCCCCTTCTGCCCAGGAACACATTTTTACTCGAAGTTTTATGGGTCACTTGAATTCTTATATGGTGATCACTGTGTTTTGAATTCACCCAGTATATTCTAAGCAATTCTCCAGTAAATGTAAGCCCCAATTCTCTTTTGTGATCTATTGAATTAGTTCAAAACTTTCAGAACCAGATGGGATTTCTTCCCTCTTAACAATTATAGTACAATCCCCTTGATATTCATAGTTTCGCTTATCCATGTTCCACTCTAGGTCGTGCAATGTGATTCTATGGTATTCTTCTGCCCCAAGTATAGTCAAATATAAGGTTCACTATTTTCCATAGTTTCAGGTATCCACAGGGAGTCTTGGAACATATCATCTGTTGACATGGGGTTGTACTGTGTTGGCGATCTTTAATTAAGGAAATGGTAGTAGGAAAAAATATCTGACACAACAAAGACATTTTAATCATGTAGTTGAAGCCATAAGCCACCACTCAGTTCTCAACTCACAGATTACTTCAGTATGAGATTTTGTGCAACCCATCAAATCTCCAATCTGACACCTGCAATGTGAATCGCTTACCTTTTGGACCTGTTATCACAAGGACTGAGGTAATGTGTGAACCATATTGAATGTTTAGGAAGAGAATAATGTGAATGTCTTAAGTATCTTAGGGGAGATCTCTTGTGATAGCAAAACAACCAGTTCTATGATTTTTGAGAATAATTAAGGAGCACTCACCCTGTGATGACCTGACTCAGCTTGGGATGCCAGCTCATTCAACCAGTCCCTGGCCCAAAACTTTGAATTCTGATTTCCACAGCTTCCCCTGGGAACCTTGAGATGTTCGGACCTGTAGATCAAGTGCTGCTTCTGATTGTGAGGAAGTGGCTCCAAGATATAACTCAGGTTGTTTCTTAATACTATAAGGCCACTGAAAAGCAATAACAATAAGAGAAATTGAAGAAGGAAAATAGTGCATTACAATCCTAAAAATTAGATATCTTGCCTTGTGTATATTTTACATGATACACGGCTTTAAGTTCTAATAGTATTATCTGCAAATATATAACAGATTGTACTCAGATTTATTATTCAATACTGTGCCAGTCTAAATTATATCTTCAGTCAGCTTTCCCAAATCTATTCTTTATGCCAATGTGCTTAGACTATGAATGCAAATCATCATTGATTTCATTTTCACATGCACGGATGAATGATCATCACAGTTTTTTTGCTGGCCAAATGAGTATTTCTCTTCAGTATTCTTCTCATATTCAGATGTCCTCTGAATATGTGATCATGGAATTACTGCAAGGAGGAAAACCCATTATAGGTTTTCTGCGCACAACGTGTATTTTGTGTGAAGAAAACCCATTTTGGCTCATGTGTACACACAATTCCTCCATAATACATGAGTACACACAAAAAGTAGAAGAAATCTGCACAAACATTTCACTGCTCTACTACTGTTCCTGATGGGACCACCTGGCTACCAGAAAACCCCTTTTTCAACCAGAAAATGAGTAATTGTGACTATACTTCATTTTTCTTAGTCAAATTATAATTCTCATCACTACCAGCCATCATGGGCATTACAGATAGGTCAGGGGTTGTACTCCAAACACATCTGAAGAGCACAGGGTTAGGCAAGACTTCCAGGGGCACCAAGAATTCCAATATGTCGACTGATAATGTCTCACTTGATTGCCAGTCACTGAGGCATTCAAACCAGAGTCCAGAAGAGCCCCATGAAGAGAGAGAGAGAGACTGTTTTTCTCATGACTTTCCTTAGCTTTATATTGATAAGTGGGCCAGCAGGGGGTGTACATCACTTGCATGAAGAATCAACACAACTACAATGTTTTGTATTTCATCACCTTGACAATTACACAACTATATTTTCAGTATCTAAAACAAGCAAGTTGCAGGTGTATTCTGTGGGGACACTGGAACTGATCTAGCATCCAGCAAAATGAATAACCACTCAAAAAACAGTCATTGTAAATGTACTGAATCACTATCACACCTGTTTACAACCACCTACTGTTAAAGAGCACTGTTGGGTTAAAGAGTAGGGAGAGTGAAATCTGAACTAATCTTACTCAGTCTCTCTCCCCCTTCAACAAGACTCACTCTTTCATCCATAAAATCAACCTCATCCTGCTTAGGAATAGGGGGCGGGGAGAATTATGCTAATGCATTCAAGCAGCAATATTGGAAGCCATTGATGAATGTTCCCCATCAATGAAAAGCTGTGTTTTGCCAACAATTTAAATGGAAAGCAGAAATAGAAGAAATACAAAACCCATGTATTCAGTATCAGCTACAGGTTTTATTACCCTCCTGTTATTATGAATTACTAACCTCATGTAATAAAGTTCTAAGACAAAGAACGGTCTTCTTCATTGTGGGGTTTCTCTTTTTGGGACACAACAAAGCTTGCCTGGTGTCCACATGTTTATCATTTCAACACTAGACAGATTTGCCTAGTTAGCTTTTTTTAAGTGTCCATGGCTTTCTAAAACCTTTGTGCTGTAGTTGTTTGTTGTGCATTGTGATTTTTAAAAATTATTTTAATATCATATAATCTGCCTACAAAACCTTCGATACTCTGAGCAAGCAAATAGTCTCACTATATCAGAAAAAGGACTAGCTCCTGTCACTGGAACCCACAGCTGTATGTGAACTGTCATGTACAGTATTGACTAATTGACAGGTTACTCACAGGTGCTGGACCCAGGGAGCGTACTATCCCCCTGGCTACAACACCTGCACTGGTTGCCAATATGTTTCTGGGCCTGATTCAAAGTGCTGGTTTTGACCTTTAAAGCCCTAAATGGTTCAGGTCCAACTTACCTATCTGATTGCATCTTCTCATACCAACCTGCCCAAGCATAAGCTCTTCTGGAGAGGCCCTTCTCTTGCTGCCACCACAGTTGCAAATGCGGATGGAAGCGACAAGAGAGAGGGTGTTCTCAGTGGCTGCCCTGACCCTCTAGAACTCCCTCCCCAAGGAGATGAAAGCAACCCCTTTCCTGATGTCTTTAAAAAATACAGCTGGAGACCTTCCTGTTCAAGCAAGCATTTAATGAAGAAATCTAACTTGAAGTAGCAGGAGGGCTGACTTGCAGTGAGCTGAGTGAAGTGTGTTACTTGAATCAACAAGTTCCTGCAACAATAGTAACTGCTTAAATTGTTTTAAATGCTTATTTATGTTTTATTTTATAGATGGTTTTATTTGTTATATATGTTGTTTGATTTGTACTGTTTTAATATGTTTTGAGCTGCTTTGGATCCCATTTAGGGAGAAAAGCGGGATATAAATAAAGGATTATTATTATTATTATTATTATTATTATTATGTAGTCTAGTTTATGCAGGAAAAACTGGGGCTGATTTCTCAGGCAGATACAGGAAAAAAGTAGAGGGATCTGTCAGTAGGGATAAAGTTACATCCTTCCCACCTGCTTTCCTCACTGAAGAAGGAAGGACATCTGCAAGCATATTGCTTCTGGATACTTCCAGTAATCAAAACTAGGACAATGTGCACCATCTTACACTGCAAGAGACTCTGCTATAAATGAAAAATGAGCTTGAAAAATGAGGAGAAGAATAAAAGTGGGTCATGTTGCACCTGCAATGCTTCCCATTTTGTGTGAGCCATGTGGATTCTGTCCAACATACATGTCCAAGGTTTACTTTGTGTACACTGCTGGACAGTTTGTTTACAGTAAAGTGAATTGAGGTCACTAAGGGATTTGGCCAAAACTGTTTCCTGACTGGATAGAAGCCCAGTTTTCAAATGTCTTTGAATAAAGGTGACCAAAATCTAATGCGTCCTGTTTATAAAAACACTATCTTTAATTTATTGTTTTTGGAGATCAAATCTTCCCCATATGGAGTAAATGTGTGCATATCTACACTGCAGACTCACAACTGACAAGCAGTGTTGAAGAATCCCATCAATTGGAAGCAGCTTTACAGAAGAAATATGTTATAAAATGCTGTGACACCAAAATACATGTGCAGATTTAGAAATGCATTATAAGGAAGCAGAAAAGCAAATATAACTATGTAACCCTCTTCCTAAGCATCAGCAAACATGGCTTCCTATTCCATCCACTCTCTCAACTTTATTAATGCTTGGGTTATTTCCTGAATTGCAAATAATTTATGGCATCCCCTAACCTTTGTTCCTATCAATTGTAGAACTCCGGGAACCACTCACTATGTGCCCCCTACCCTCCACTTTTAGTGACTTGGTACAGTAAATCCCCTTCAAACTGGAATTATACATAGGAGACTCCTCTGGGTGACAGCTACCTGTCGAGTCCTGGCTGAGCCTTCACTTTTGTGTATAACTCTGGAGGATGGAAACTGAAATTTGACAACATCAGGAGAATATACATTGCACAGCCCAAGGAGAACATGAAAGTCATGATTAATAGTTATCATAACTTTCTGTTGTAATTCCACCATGAATTTGTTTCCTTTTTGGAAAAAGGAGACATACATTTTGGTTGAGTTCCCACTTTGCAACAGGAGATTAGGAAGTTATAAGGAGGTTACTTCAAAGAATGAGTCTGAGATTAGATTGTGAAAGAGGGAGTTTGGACCTTACCGTAGACCGTTGCATGTGCTGAGTGCCACACTTGAGTCTTCTATCCCTCTCACTATACCATGGTAAAAACAATGATCCTAGAGAACAGAATAGAAATTGTCAAAGAATTATGACCCCACTAATGTGGTCAAACAAAAAAATATTCATAAGAAAGAACATAATGGCTAGAAGATGTAACAATTTGCTTTTGCCTGAGTCCATTGGGAAGGGAAAGATTCTGTCTCTCCTTTCTTCCTTCCTCTGCAAAGTTAATTAAGTGCAAATTACTTCTATTTCATGAACTTAGTTTTCAGCAACTGAGATAAACTGAGAATAAAGGGAGAATAGAGGGAGGAGATGAAAAGCTGGGACAATTTAAAAGGAGCTGAAAAAGCAGAGTGACAGAGGATTATTCAAAACAGTCCCTGTCAAATTGAGACAATTGGGAATATACAGCTTGCCTTGGGAAGCAAAATAAGTTGAACCAGTCCTATTGAGTTCATAGTACAGGCTGAAGATCCCTTATTTGAAATTCCAATATCTGAAATACTCCAAAATGCAAAATTTTCTGCATTGGAGGCTAAATATTGATATATTTGTTTCCTGATGGTTGAATGCATACAAGCTTTATTTCATGCATATACATGACAAATATAAAATACAAATATAAAATTAGCTTCTAGCTACGTGTATAAGGTTCATATGAAACATATGATAAATCAAATTCATATGTATAGTAATTAAATTAAATTATATTTCATATGGATCTTATGAAACATGGGTCCTACCTTCAAGATATGAAAACACAGGCATTTGGGACCCCCCCCCCCCACACACACACACACACATACAAAAGTCCAGAAAACAAGGCACTTCTGGTCCCAAGCATTTCTGATAAGAGATATTCAATGATGATGATGATGATGATGACGATGATAGATCTTTATTTGTACCCCACCACCGTCTCCCCAAAGGGCCTTGGAGCAGCTCACAGAAGCACTCCAAGTGCCACATGCAGACTACAATACATAAGTATAAATAATTATAATCAACAGCACTGATAATCACTGATAAAATTATAAAAATATAAAAATTATAAATTTTCTAAAATGCAGTGGAACTTGCAGGAAAGCCAGCTATCTGTCGCAACAGATAGCCGTAGTACTGAACTGGCAGCATTGAACATTTGCCTTAGAGTTAAGATCCAACTGACAGTGATGTCACCAAAATTTTCCCCATCAAATCCAAATGACTATGGAAGAATTCTTATTTTTCAGATCCCTTTTCTTTGTCTTTTTGTTTTTTATGGCACAATATTGCAAAGACCCTATTAGATGGGTTCCCCCTATAACAACTGCCAAGAAAGTGAGTTTTACAACCTAACCATCAATGAATCTCATCACAATCAACAATTCAAACAAATTTCATGGTAGGAAGGACAAAAGGAGAAACAATCTCAAGAAGGATGATCTCAGCTTTCATGGGCTTTATTTTTAAAATTAATATAATTAGCTGTGAGCATTTTTGTGCCATTTCAGCAGTGTGCCAACCAATCAAGGCCTTTTCAAGCAGTTCATAAAGCACATCCTGCTGGACATGAGTCAGCCTGAATAATCTTTGCAAAGGACTGGGAATATAACCAGCATTCAGATTCCAGTAAGCAGTGGGACAGAACAGACACTTCATGGATATTGAGTTTTATATATGCAGGCTCTTCAAAGAGCAGATGCATGCCCTTCCATGGTTGAACCAAATGCATTCCAGTTATGTGCAGTGTGTACTACACATACTCAAATGTACAGACATTTGGGTTATAAAACTTGAGCTTTCCATTAATAAAGGTTTTACTCAGGATGTGAAATAGTACGATTGTGGTAGATATTAAGGATGATGAAGTGGGTATGGAGGAGAGCCAGCGAGCAGTAGTTTGAGCATGGGACTCTGATTCGGGAGATCAAGTTTTGAATCTCTGCTCAGCCATGGAAACCCACTGGGTGATCTTGGACAAGTTTCACTCTTGCAGCCTTGGAGAAAAGTAAAGCAAATCCTCCTTTGACTAAATCTTGGCAAGAAAACACTAATAGATTCACTTAAAGGTTACTATAAATCACAAATTACTGAAAGGGACATCACTACCGCCACAACAAGTGGGCATGGAATACAATTTTCAAATAAAAAGTACCTGATGCCATTTCTTATTTTAAAAAGTCCAATCTTGTTAAATGAAACAACATCAAAAGCATTATTAGCATGAATTACGAAATCGAAAACTAAATTACACAGGTTTTCTCAATTTGTCATTCACCATTTGTCCATAAGTAGCAATATGTCACAGAACCAGACAACTAGTTCAGTCTCACTCACTTTCCCTTGCTATCAGACCTAAATAACGATGCCAAAAATCCTTGTAGGTATTGCCTTTAAAAGCACCCTCAGTACTGTTATATAAAGGAATGTGGGAGAGGGAGGTATAATCTTAGCTGCACAAATTAGCTGTAACCAGTTAAGAAATGTCACCAAATTAAAGTGCATTGATTCTTGGAAACATCTTCCTCACATGCAAAATTAACTCAGAGGTGTCAGTAACAAACACTGGAAGTTTGTCATCTTGAAAATGAAAGATATATATCAGCAAGTTATTCTTCAAATTGGTCCTAATTTTTATATATACGTATATATAGCATCATCTTTGCCGATCAATCAATTCATTTTTTATGAGAAGCCATTCCAAACCAGGAGTGGAAATTCACTATCTGCCCAGACATTTTTAGACAAAAACATGCCTGACCATATTGGATGGAGATGGAGAAGGAAATTATGAAAATTATTGTCTACTGATATGTGGATGGCTATAGATTCCTTGCCCCTGGTTTAAAGACTGAGGTAAAGGATAAAGGTTTTCCCTTGACATTCAGTCCAGTCGTGTCCAACTCTTGAAGTTGGTGCTCATCTCCATTTCTAAGCCGAAGAGCTGGTGTTGTCCACATACACCTACAAGGTCATGTGGCCAGTATGACTGCATTTAGTGCCATTACCTTCCCTTTGGAGTGGTATCTATTGATCTACTCACATTTTGCATATTTTCGAACTGCTAGGTGGGCAGAAGCTGAGGCTAACAGCAGCAACTCAAGCCGCTCCTTGGATTCGAACCTGCAACCTTTCAGTCAGCAAGTTCAGCAGCTCAGTGGTTTAACCCACTGCACCACCGGGGATAAAACTGAACACAGGATAAAACCTCCAGTGGAAGGAGTATGCCAGCCAGAACTCTAAAAGCCGGACTATTATCGTAAATGGAACATCATTTGGACAGAAATAAATAGTGTAGACATCAATATTCTTCATATATTGCAGGGTTAACAGCAGGCTTGCAATGTGACAAGATATGTATGGAGCATGTCTTCCACCAGCATTGATATGGCCACTAATATTGTGTTATTGCAACTGTCTGAAAAAAGACTTCTGCCCTTGTCAAAATATCAGCAGCTGCAGCACACATGGAGTTGCTAATACATTCAACTGTTATGTCACACGATCCCATCCGGTTACACACTTGGCAATGGTTTCATTTGAGGTGACTCTCAAGAACCATAAATGCTCCTCTAAAATAATTCCTGCTGCTCCATTTACTCCCCAGTGTTCATGCAAAGTATGTTTGTACTAGCACCCCAACCATGTTATTCCCTTTCTTTCCTTTGTTTCCTCAAATGACATTTTTCTACAGTCACCCTTGGTTCTCAGATGTTCTTACAGTATCCTATGTGGATTCCCCCATTGTTTCAACTCTGTTATCACAACAGGCCTTTAAAGCAGGCAAGCCCGTATTTCTGCCAGCTGAAGAATTCTGGGAAATGTAGTTTGGGAAGGGAGGACCTCTGTAGCTGAGAATTCAAAAGGCCCTGTCCTAAACTACACTTCCCAGAATTCTTCAGGCAGCAGAAATGTGGGGCTGCCCACTTTAACGCCCTAGTATGATAAAGTGTGATTTATTCACCCAAAGCCATTATATCCCCTCTGCATTAGAGATAAACTATACTAGAATACTTACTGTGTTGTTCAGCATGATAGTTTGAGGAAGTCCACTTTGGGTATAATGAGTCTCAGTGTAGCCTGGGGCAAAGAGGTATCTGCCAAGAGATAGTAACAAGGGAATGATATGTTGCACATTATTGCTCATTCTAAACTATATGCCACATATATGAAATCTTGCTATCAGACTGTTCAGGGCCTTACCCTAGTACCTCACCA